AGATCACTGTAGTGACAGAGTGGCCTGTACCTAAAAGTGTTACTGAGGTCCGTAGCTTTTTGGGTCTGGCTGGATATTATCGCAAGTTTGTGCCTAATCTCTCCCGTATTGCCAAACCTCTCACCAGCTTGACGGAGAAGAATGTTAAGTTTGAGTGGACGGATAAGAGATCTCAGAGTTTTGAGGAGTTGAAGCAGAAACTCACTGAGACTCCGATATTGGTACTTCCAAGGTCAGGAATACCATATGATGTATACACCGATGCCTCTGGATCTGGGCTAGGATGTGTGCTGATGCAGGAGAAGAAGGTCGTAGCCTATGCATCTAGACAGCTTCGGAAGCATGAAGTGAATTATCCGACTCATGATTTGGAGTTAGCAGCAGTAGTCTTTGCTCTGAAGATTTGGCGTGCTTACCTGTATGGGGAGAAGGTGCACATATATACTGATCATCAGAGTTTGAAGCATGTGTTCACTCAGGATAATTTGAACCTAAGGCAGAGGAGGTGGATAGAATTATTGGCTGATTATGATTTGGAAATTTCCTATCATCCGGGAAAAGCCAACCAAGTGGCAGATGCCTTGAGTAGAAGGAGAAATGCGGTTTCTGAGGCTAAGGAAATGCAGGAGCTGATAGCGACCTTGGCAAATTTGAGTTTGTGTGTCGCTGAAGTAGAGGATGATCCCGCAGGATTGGAAGCATTGGATAATGCTGACCTGCTAATGAGGATTCGTCAGGAGCAAGCGCATGATTTGTCCCTTAAGGAGATTTTTGAAAAGCAAGTGGTTAGGTACCACAAAGCAGACAATGGGACTTACATGTATAGGAATCGGGTCTGTGTTCCCATGAATGATGAGCTAAGGAGGGAAGTGTTAAGTCAGGCTCATCAGTCAAAGTTTTCTATTCATCCAGGGAACACCAAGATGTATCGGGATCTGAAACGCTACTACCATTGGTCTGGTATGAAGCGTGATATTTCTGCTTGGATATCTCAGTGTTCTACATGTCAGCAAGTGAAAGCAGAGCAGATGGCACCAAGTGGACTTCTCCAGAACTTACCATTACCAGAATGGAAATGGGATATGGTAACTATGGATTTTGTGACGGGGTTGCCCAGGACACTAAGTAAGAAGAATGCGATTTGGGTAATCGTAGACCGTCTTACTAAGTCAGCTCACTTTTTGCCAATTAAAAAGACGGATGGAGCGGAGCAGTTGGCGCAGAAGTATATTGATGTTATTGTGAGGTTGCATGGGGTTCCAGTGAGCATAGTGTCGGATCGGGATCCGAAGTTCACGGCTAGTTTCTGGCAGGCCTTCCAGAAAGCCTTGGGAACAAAGGTCCATCTCAGCACAGCGTACCACCCTCAGACAGATGGCCAATCGGAGAGGACGATTAGGACCCTGGAGGATCTGTTGGGAGTGTGTGTCCTAGATTGGGAAGGAAGTTGGGAGAAGCATTTGCCTTTGGCGGAATTTACTTATAATAACAGTTATCATAGTAGCATTGGGATGGCACCATATGAGGCTCTATATGGTCGGCCTTGTCGCACACCTCTGTGCTGGACAGAAGTAGAAGAAATGAGAGTGCAAGAGCCAGAACTTCTTGAGGAGGCGTCTAAGCAAGTGGAAATGCTTAAGACGAGGTTGAAAGAAGCTCATGATCGTCAGAAGAGCTATGCAGATCAGCGAAGGCAGGAGTTGTCTTTCGAAGTTGGTGATATGGTGTATCTGAAGTTGATGACCTTCAGAGGGAATGATAAGCATCGGCTGATGAAGAATCTTAAGCCTAGGTACATGGGACCGTACCCTATCCTGGAAAGGATTGGAGAAGTGGCTTATCGCTTGGAGTTGCCCAAAGAATTAGCTGAGTTCCATGATGTGTTTCATATTTCTCTTCTGAGGAAAGTTGTGAGAGAGCCAGAGCTCATTTTGCCCCAGCCGCCAGCAGATGTAAGGAGGGACTTCTCAGCAGCATATCAGCCTGTGGCAGTGTTGGAATTTTGGGAGAAGGAATTGAATGGTAAGAGGAAGCTAGCGGTTAAGGTGTGTTGGGAAAAGGATGGAATCCGCGAAGAAACCTGGGAAGTAGAGCAGGAAATGCGGAAGGAATTCCCGGAACTCTTTGAGGACAAGGGAGAAACCGGAGGAGTAGGAGAGAATTCGGGAAATTAGAGGAGAGTTGTAACATCCCAAACCCAGTCCAATTAGAGGAGGCCCAGCAAATCTAGGCCCACTCCAGAAACCCTAATATAAATAGGGAATTAGGGGTTAATGAGCCTCATTCTGCCTCTAATTACCCTAGCCCCCAAAGAAAAGAAAGTGAGAGAGAGAAGGAGAAGCTGCTCGCCGCCGCCGCCGAGGAGGAGAAGCCGCGCCGCCGCCGGAGAAGGGTGCCGCCGCCGCCGCTTGCCGAGAGAAGAAGGAGCACTCGCCTGCCTCCACCTTCTCAGAAGGTGCTTGATTATGTTGCCTCTTCTAGTTCCCCTTAATCTCAGATCTGCTTTTAGGCCAAGGTGAGGATTAGATCTAGGTCTTTCTTCTTATCCCTTTATCTTCTTCTGGTGTGTTGAGTCTAGATCTGGTGGGACAGGTCTGTCTTCTTGTGCATCTAGGCAGATCCATATATATATATATATATATATATATATATATATATATAACTAATAAGATCTAGGATCTCATTAGAGGAAGAACCAGCATGGTTGATTGACAACCCTGTTGATTGGTTAGTGATTGGTAGAAGTCCTAAAGGTCATAGTCTGTTTCTGGTATAGTGATGTGCCGAATGCAGGCTTGTTTGCTGGGTTATGTGCCGTCTGTGTGACCGTGGCAATAATCCATTCATCCGGTGGAGTGATGACCCACGGGGCTGTCCATGTGGCATGCCGGGATTGGACTGTCTGTGTGACAGGATCTCTGTCTGTGTGACAGGGCGTCTGTCTGTGTGACAGGGTGAGATGTCGACCTGTGTCCGAGTGACAAGGTGGTTTGGCCTATTGAGAGGCGGGATCGGAGACATCACTGCTTGTTAGTTGCTTGTGCACTTGTAGAGTGCTTGTTTGGTTTCATTAGATTTATTCTTAATATGTTGGTGGAAATAAATGAATAAGGCGGGAGCCTGGTTTGGTTCTCACTGAGTAATTCTCCCAAATTACTCACCCCTCTCTCTCTAAATTCCGATATGCAGGTGATTGTGATTGTGAGTATGATTGTGCTGATGTCTGGGAAGAACTAGACGAGTAATTCTAGTGTGGTGTGCCTTCAGAAATGGAGGAAGTTTTATTTGTTTTTTAGAACTATTTCACATTTCTTTTAAGACAATGTTTCTATTCTATTTCGGATTTAATAAGTTATTTCATCTCTTTTGTAAAATTTGGATTTGGGTTTGGATTTGAATAAAAAACAACAAGTTAATTGGAATTGGTTTAGTTTAGGATAGTTAATATCCCGGTTTATTCTGGTTTCTTTCGGAACCAGGAATCGGGGTGTTACAAATTTACTCGAGCTATTTCAGGTGATTAGTACGTTAGCCTTAGGGTTTTTTGTTTGTTTGTTTGTTGCAAGACTTGAACATGGTGACGAACTAGTAAATTCTGAGCTTCTCAGTAATAGAAATGAATCTACAGTTGCGATAGTATGTAGAAGTCATCGGCGTGGTCATGGTTATTTTATGTTCTTTTCTACTTGTATTTTCAAATCGATATATGCATTATACTCATCTCAACACGTAGTACTAAAATTAATAAGACTTTCATTATCATAAGTACTAATTTTGTTGCTGCAACGTGGTGTACAAAGTGATCACCAAGATCATTGCGAATAGGCTTAAATCATAAGTACTAATTTTGTTGCTGCAACGTGGTGTACAAAGTGATCACCTATTGCAGCGTTGATATATGCTTGTCATGTGATTTGGAAATCTGGGTTCGACTCCACCTTTCTCTTTGCAATGATTATGGACTAGTGGACCGAGCACGTAATTTTTTTATCAATACGGTGTTTTAATTAGCCTATTATGTATTTACTTTAGCCTTCCACAATTTTACAGATACGGTGTTTTAATTAGCCTATTATGTATTTACTTTAGCCTTCCACAATTTTACAGAAACAAAACATTATTTTCCATGGCACAAAGCTTATCTTAATTGAGAACACTTAATGTATAATAAAAAAGTAAAGTTAATTGGTTAGTTCTGTATATCCTTTCGTGTCCGAGACTTAGAACATGTAAAATAGTCCCGGTTTAAGTGTCATTCGATCATAAAATTTTAAGCTTTATCCTTGGTAGTTTTCCTGTTTATATTTTTCAGTAATGCTAACTATATTAGGTGGATTTACTTTTCTTTTTTTTACCAAATTAAGTGGATTTACTTTTACATTTTTCTATACGAGAAAGAGTGATTTTGTATCTGCCTCTTTATATCTATATCCCTATAATTGATATAATCTGATGCCGACCAAAAAATGATCTGTGACACAAAGCTCTTCATTGAGAAGACTAAATACATAGTAAACCGAACCAAAGAACTTTTCCATTTCAATAAAAAAACATTAGGAAATTTGATCAGAGCAATGTGACAGTGAAGGGAATAAAAAAGTGAATTGAGTAAAATTGCCGTTTGCATAAGAAAAGAACCAATCCGACGCTCTCCATGTGCATTCCAAAGCATCTCTCTTACTTCTTTAAAAATTTCCCTTAAAAGTAATCAAAGTAGAGGCCACAAAAACTCACGATTTCACTCAAAATTGATTTAAAATAAACAACATCATAGATGCTTTCCTTCTGGATCACAATCATAACTATTGCACTATACGCTATACTTCAACTTTTTCTCCTTTTTCTTCTTCTACATTGTCCTTTGAATCTCTTTTTTAACATGTAATCTTCTTGTAGATGAGTCATGTGGTTGTGATTCTAAAAATAATGCAACTTTTCTCTTTTTTTCTTCTTTTCTCTTTCCCAGCTTTTATATAATCAATCTCACATGTGTGTGTGTGCTAACATTTCTCAATTCCCAAGTTGCTCTGAAACACAGGAGAGAGATGGGTATTACAGGAGGACTAGTGAGAAGCATTTTCTTCAGAAACAAATCATTTGGGGCTCATGACTACAACAATGTAATTCATCATTTTCATCAAATACTAACTCATCACTTTGTTTCTTTTCTTCTTCTTTTTACATTTACTTACTTTGAAATGTTTGTAATGTTTTCAGGGAAGAAGCAATCTAGGAGAGAAGAAAAGATGGAGCTCGGTTAGATCGTACCTTTGCGGAGATGAATTCAACTCTGTTCTCGCTGTTGATGATTCAGGGTCGATAAAGGATTCTGTTGACGCTCTTCTAACAATGTCTCAGCATCTTACTTCAGATTGTGTCACACCATTTGATTCGGTTATCGCCATTGAAGATTCAGCTTCTGTGAAACAACATTTGGAGGAAGAGGACTCTGTTTCCGTTAAGAGCTCAGAGGCAACAGTTACTCAGCCATTACCGGACGAGAAACCAAAGTTATCAAAAGAAGATGTCGATAACCAAAGCGAAACAACAGAGACGCATATACCAAAGAAGCATCAGACAACTCCAATCTCCAAGTTGTTCCTCGAAGAAGATGCTGCAGTCAAAATTCAGACAGCATTCAGGAGTTACTTGGTTAGTTTTAACTGCTTTACGTTGTCTTCTTCTGTTATGTCCACTCCATTGATTCTTAGGATGTGTTCAGGCAATACGTAAGAGCAAAGAAGTAGAAGAAACAGCTGTTAATGAAGAGAGCTTCTCAGGAGAGGAATCACAAGGCAAGGTATCCATGGGGACATCACTAGAAGTTCAGACATGTAATTCCGTGAAAGCGCCGTTTTTTAGGAGAAAACGAGTATCAGCAAATCGAAGAACATTACAGAAGAACAAAACTCAAGCTCTGAGGATAAAGGTAAGCAAAACATCTGATGCAGTAAAGAGGGGAATTTAAAGATGTTAGAGAAGAATTACATCATAACATGCACATGCTCACATAACAGGAAGACTGGGATGATAGCACAGTGAGCAGCACCATATCGCAACTCAGAATTCAAAGCAGAATCGAAGCAATGACAAAGCGAGAGAGAGCACTTGCTTATGCATTTTCACAGCAGGTAAAAGAAAACTGCAACAATTGATCTCAGATTCAATCCTAAAAGATCTAAATTACTTATTTTTAAACATTTTTTTAAAGCTACGAATCTGCTCAAAGAAGAAGCCAATAGATCGCAACAGTGAAGATGAATCCAACATCGGTTGGAGTTGGCTAGAACGCTGGATGGCAACCCGTGTACCAGACAGTTTTCCGATTGAGCCACGGACAAACATTCAGACAGATATTGCGACGAAAAATCAAAGATTTGTAAGAAAGAATAGATCTTTTGGTATAGCTGGCGAGTTGGAGAGCTGTGCATCCAACGATATACCCCTCCAATTTGAAAGCATATCAGAGAAACTAGAAGATGAAACAGAGAATTTGCAGACGGAAAAGAGCACATCAAAGCGAAAATCGGTTCCAAACTACAACGGCCAGAGAAGGCATAACAGGGTAAACAAAAAAACCACACAGTGCATAGAATTTTCCATTTTTTCACCAATCTCAAACACCAGTCCATTACGCGTTCTTGTGCAGCTTCAAGCAACCAAAAGAGACTTGCAACAACAGACAAAGAAAGCTAAGAAGGCCAAGACCATAGCCACAAGCTGCAAAATTGGAAATGAATGTGAAGAAACCTCACGGAAGATCATTAGCAGCAGCTAAGATAATAGTTACCTGTAAATCTTAGCGTTTAAACAACTCTTGTTTCTAAATAGTTTCTTCTTTCGATTCTGATAACAACATGCTTGTAAATTATTTGCGTTAATCAAATGAGAGAATGGATAAGAAACTGGAACACCAGAAACACACAATAGTTTCTTTATTTTTAACATTAATAATGATTTCACCAAATCTTCGGTTTCTCAAGAAGATGCGTGTCTCAAATTTTGATATTACAAGCTGGAACTAGGCCAACCATAACAAACTTAGATCCTATCAATATCCTCGTCCTCAAACTCGATGTAATCATCGCCCGCATTATCGTCATCTTCATCAAGATCACCAACAATTCCTTCATTAAGACGAGTATTCTCAGGAAGCTCACCATATGCCTTGAGTAGCCTCGCCTCATCGGACATGTACTTAAGGATGACATCAGCTTTGTCATCTTGGTAGTCCCTTAGCCCAACAAGAACAATGTCACCGGCTGCGATCCAAACCTTCTTGTGCATCTTACCACGGATATGGCAGAGACGTTTAACCCCGTCGATGCACATGGCTTCACATCGGCCATTGCCAAGCATACGAAGAACTTGCGCATACTCTTGCCCATCTTCCTTAAAGATAAGCTCACGCTTCTCATCATCAGCTTCATTCTTTCCTCTCTTCCTGTTCTTTCCTCCCTTTCCCTTGTTCTTCGGCATGGTCTCTGCATCAATTTCCAGACGTTAAGAAAAAAATCAGCCGAATATTGTAAACTGAAGCCATCTCTACGAAGAATAGAAAAACTTTGGACTCAACACACTTACAGCCAGGATAAATCGATACAAAGACATGGAATTATCTACGAACATATCAAAGAGAAAACCTTTAGATATTAACTTAAAAGGGTTTCTTCCATAAATCTCTAACGCAATATCGTAAGTTAATATTCGAAACTACACCTTCTTTGCAACAGAGATACAGCAACAATAAACATTCTCAAAATTCTGTATGAAATGAAGCTGCGCAAGCAAATAGTCACGTAAAATGCTAAGAGTTGGATGAATATGTTCGTCTCAATTCAGAAAAAAAAAAGGCACAATCCACCAAAGAGAATCAAAGCGTTTACTTTTGATAGTCTAATTCCATAAATCTCTAACGCAATTTCTTCAGTTAATCATCGCAAACTAAGCCTTCTTCGCCATAACAGGGACACATATCTAATGATACAGAACAAGAATATGAGCAAAAACTGTTCTCACAATCAAAAAGAAAACCTTTAGATATCGGTTGAGAGGGTTTACTCCAAAAATCTCAGCCACAATTTCCAAAGTTAATAATTGAAACTACACCTTCTTCGGAAAAGAGAAACAGAAACAAGAAACAATCTCAAAATTCCGTATGAAGAAAAAGTTAAAAGTTGAAATGATCGCGTAACATATTAAAAGTTGGATAAATATATTCGTCTCAATTCAGACAAAGATTGCACAATCCACTAACAAAGAATCAAACAATATATCAAAGAGTTTACTTCTGATTGTCTGATTCCACAAATCTCTAAAGTAACCTCTTTAGTTAATCATCGAAAACTAAGCCCTCTTCGCAAAACAGAGATACACATAGAACAAGAAACTATTCTCAAACTCTGTATGTGCAAAGCTGTTCTCACAATCGCGTAGTTTGTAAAATGATTGAAGAAGGGATTCAGAAAACAATAAACCGAATAGAATCAAAATCAGAAAATTCCGGAGACAATTCACTAATTCAGGTAACGGGGAGCGATCTGCGAAATATAATCCCTATTTCAACAAATGGAAACCCTAATTTTAAATTTGAATATTCAGATCAAGCGTGACGCATAGAATCAAACGAAACGAGAGCTTACCAAATTATAGATGGATCAAGCTCAAAATAATCACGACAATCTTAGAAGATAATAGATTAACAAAAATTTTTCCTTTTCTTTTCTTTACAGGAATTTATTTTAGATGAAGGTTTTCGTGTAGCAGCGTTGCTCTACTTGTTTTTCTTTGTCATGATATGACTTTTTTCTTTTAATAATATAAGTGTTTATAATTGCCCTCGGTTGTAGATTTTATTACGAGGTCATGCCATTTGCCTTTTTTTGTGTCTACTTAAAAGCAGTACATGTTAAAAAAATCGCTAAAGGCGGTTTTATAACTAAACAATAATGATATCATTTAATCATATAACATAACATAATAACATTATGTAATATAACATAATAAAAATAGTTAAAACAAATAGTCTATGAATATTGAATAGAAAAAAAATTAAAAACATAAACTATAAGTCTATAAAACATAAACATAGAATAAAACCAATAATTTAAGTTTTTTAAAATAATAATTAAATTCTAAATCTCTGATGCTAAAAAAAAATTCTGAATCTCTAATGATGATTTTAATCACCATTCTCTTCAGTTTTCACCAGATTTTTTCTAAAATTCGTTCATCATCTAATTCAAATTCCACATCAACTTCTTCTTCATCATCAGAATCAAAATCAGACTCGTCAAGCTCCCTAATAACACCATCATCGTCTCCTATAATTTCCCACATGTCTTCTAGTTCCACTTCAGCTTCTTCAACAATCCAACTTTGAGCATGAAGAGCATTATCTGCCAATAAAATGTCCACTTTCTTTCTTTATGTTTCTTTCGTTTTGCCAATAGTCTCATGTTGAATTGGACATAAACAAGATTGTTCAGCCGTTTGGTATCAAGTCTGTTTCGTTTCTTGGTGTGTACCTACATCAAATTTTTAGAATAAAACACAAATCCACAACATTTATTTATTCATGAAAGAAAGTGTTTATTTAGTTTAAAATAAATATCCTTTCAAAAGTACTCCAATTCCGTTCACATCCGGATGAACTAGTCGTCAAAGACAAAATCTTTTTTGCCATTGTTTGTAGCTTTGGAACTTCAACTCCATAGAAATTCCACCATTGAACTGTAAAGAAAAACATTTGATTAATAATCATATATTAAAAAAGATTAAAAAACGAGCAAGTTCTATGCAAACAGACCTGGATCATAATTCTCATCATTTTTGGAACATCCTTTAATGGCTGTTGGATGCCCAAAGTTTCCCTCTTTTTTGTGTATGTTGCAAGCTCAGTGTTGATAACAAAGGTTTGAGTATCAAGATCATTTGGAAAAAAATCATCAACACACTTAAAAGTAGCACTAATGACATCTATGTCGAATTGGATAGTTGAATACTTATAAAAATAATAAGGATTCAAGAGATATGCCATCCAATGAAGAGGACTATCAAGACGACCATTACCCTTCTGATCAATGATACTAAGTATCGGTTTGTAGTTCTTCTCAAGATTGTTTAGAGCTTTGCCTATCTCTTTCTTTGTGATACGAATTCCCAAAGAACGGCACACACTTGGTCGGTATCGGATGGATAGATCCTTGACTCCAGCTGGATCTCGGAGCAGATGCTAAGGCGTGAGAATAAATCCCGAAAATCCTTAGGCCCAAACTCGCGGAGAATAACTTGGAACAAGGGGGTGGAACAAAGAGAAAGAGTTCGCCGGTAAAAGGATGTTAGGGCGTGAGAAATGAATTCCCGAAAATCCCTAAGCCCCGATTACTACTAACGGAATCTTAAACTTTGCAGGCGAAGGCTGCGTCAAGTTCTATGGATTGAACTTGATAAACCGAAATGATTCAAGAGGCTAACCACCTAAGGAATCGAAAAGTTCAAAAAGAACAAAGGAGAAATCTCAGTTTTATTTGATAAGTGAATGGCGAAAATGAGAAGGGGTACAAGCCTTTATATAGCAGGCGGAGTAGTCCAAGAGACAAACTCGAAAATGACAGAAAAATTAATAAAGTCTTTGACTGAAATAAATAAGCTAAGGACTGACTCTTCGGCTGGCCTTTGACTGACTCTTGAATTGCCAAGCCGAAAATGACTCTTGCGCTGCCGACCCATGAACCAGACCGCAAACAAACCTAGGTCGAGAGATGGGCAATGGACTTAACCTCATTAAAACCCCACCCGGTAAACCCATTGGGACAAACCCGGGTGTAAGGAAAAAGAGTATTAAGCCATCACCCGGACTGGATTAGATACAGCCGGCGTTCATGAGCACGGTCACAATCTTGGGTGATGCTGGGTCACCTGGTCCGATCTTGATTCCATTAAGTACAGCCTGAACCGTCCCTGCCAGCTTCTTAGCTCTGGATCGCGTCATAGGTCCATCCGGTACGACCAAATGTGCTTCCGGAACCTCGATTCCCTTGTCTGGGTCGTCCTCCGGGTCCATGATCGTATCACTTTGCTTCTTCTAACTTTCCATGCAGAAACCCCATTGTAGGCTTCAGATCTCCATCAACTAATCTAAGTACTCTAACCAAGGGTGCAAAGACTTTCAGACACATTCCTACACCATCCCAAAATTCCATATTACAAGTTGTATTTTAAGTTGCAAGTCCTTTAGGATGCTTTGCCCATTTACTTTCTCCACATTCGTTGCTAGCAAACATCATCTTTAATTTTTCTTTCTTCTCCATCAAACTTTGCAACGTAAGAAAAACTGACGCAAATCTCGTTATTCCAGGTCGTACAATATCTCTTCTCTTTGTAAACTTCCTCATCATGGATAGTGTCTTTTGATGGGCATAAATAAAAATGGTAAAAGCCTTAGCCTTGTTGATCGTAGTCTCCAACAAAGGAAGTTTAGCTATGCCTTCTACTATCAGATTTATTGTATGAGTTGCACAATTTTGCAGCATCCATGTTACTAGTGGCATTGTCTGTTACCACTTGAACTACATGATCTCCACCCACTTTCTCAATGCACTCATTGACATACTCAAAAATATACTAGCCTGTATGAGCATCATCAGAACAATCTTTAGAGGAGAGAAACGTTGTACCTTCCTTGCAGTTGATACACAGATTCATGATGCTTCTTCTTTTTCTATCCGACCAAGAATCTGTCATTATAGAGCAGCCACTCACCTTCCACTCATCTTCTTGTACTTTCATCAAGTTATTCACTCTAGCGACCTCTTCCCTTAACAAAGGCTCCCTCAGCTGATATTGAGTAGGTGGAGTAACACCCGGTCCAAATTGTCCAGCAGCCTCAAGCATTCTCTTAAAATCATCATTAGCAATGGCGTTAAAAGGAATTCCAGCATTATATACCCACCTCGAAATATATTGATGGACCACATGCAATTTCTCTTTTGCAATTACATTCTTGATATGTTGTTGGTGTTGTGTCAATGTTGGACCTTGGGGAGATTCCAGATTAATGCTAGAAGTATATCTATCCATAGGACCAAACATGCGAGGCATTTTCTTCACTCCCATACCTTCTACTTCAATTACTTCTTCTTCTTCATCCCTTTTCTCTGAAATATTCACTGAGTTCCGAACCTCCGTGTCGTTCATACGGGCTCGTTTCTTTTTGTTTTTTGCTTCCGTAAGTGCTTGCATACATTTCTCTTGCTCTTCTTTTTTTGAGTTCGGACAAGAAGCCACATCTCCTTGCACTCTCGCAACATGTTGTTTCAATTTGTGTACTCCTCCTGAAAACTCTTTCCCACACAGCTTGCATTTCACTTTGTCCAAATTGTTGGGATTTATCAACACTCCAAATTCCCAACCAATATCATTTGATATTCTCTGCAAATTTGATCTCTCATTCGTTTCTTCAGAATTTGGTGTCATTAGCTACACAATTGACAAAAATGAGACACACTGATTATAATAATGAAATTGCTTTTTTTTAGACGAGAAGACTGAGAAGTAAAAACATTACGAAGATTGCTGTTTATAACTGAACTAAAATAAGAACAAAGACAAGAAAGTGGAAAGAGTAGTACAGTTTCATAACTATAATCACTTAATTAACTAATTTTTATATCATAAATACCGTAATGGAGAAGACACGTGCCCTTTTCCACTTACAAAGAAACAAAAAAGCAAAACAATTTGCAAAAGAAGACAAACAAAATAGCAAAAAAGCAAACGACAAAGTAGTGAGCTATAAATCTATAATTTACAGTGCTCAAAAAAATATTAAGTACAATCAAATCAATGAAATGGAAAAGCAACATAATTTGTAATTAAAAGGCTTACATCAGAGAATCAGAGACTATGAAAGACAAGGAGTCAAGGACACGATGAAAGATGCAAATACCTTCAGCGGCAAGATTTGGCTGAAAAATAGAACTGGTTTTGGATGAATCGTGTTATAGTGACTAATTCCAATTTCAGAAAACCCTTTTTTACTCAAAACTATGTCGTTTGAGAATTAATGTTTTAAATTTTTAATTAGAAAATATAGAAAATCCTAGGCGTAATTAATCGCCTAATCCCGCCTAATTACCTACCCGCTTAATACCACTGATTAAGTTAAAATCAAGGCGGTTTGTGTTCGTCGAGCGCCTAGAAGCCGCCTAGGCCGAGTTTTTAAACACTGCTTAAAAGTCGATTAATTTTTATAACGAGTAATTTTGGCAATATTAATAGTTAGAATGAAAAATTAGTTTTTTTTTTAAATCTAATTTTCATTAACATCAAAGCAAAATATACGGTAGAATACATTGGTTGAATACGGAGTGAAACCCTAATCCAACAGATTCTAAACCTCTGGAGACAAAGCCCCAAAGACCGGAGAAACTAAGATATATCAAAAAAAAAAAATACTAAACCTTTAAAGACAAGATTGAATTACGGAAAAAACCTGAAATCTCCTCCGACAAAAGAAGAAGCGGAGCCATCGACGATTCAAGGACGAAATAAAACATAACCTGAGATGCATTTTATTCATCATGAAAGATAGAAGCAAGGAGAAGTAGCCAACCATGGTGAAAACCTCCACATCTGAGACGGAAAAGAAACTGCGACCGTCTCTGCCAGAAATGATTTCGGCCCGATCTGACACAAGGACTGAAGAAGAGACCCAAACGAGCATTAAAGTACATACCTAGAATGACCTAACAATTTTCGGATAAATCCAAACAGATTTCAAAAATCAAAATCGAAAA